ATGGTCAACCAAAGAAGCGGAGTGCACCTGCTCAGTGTCATATCTAGAGGTTGTCTTTGGGAAATAGACATATGACTGCTGCCAGCATTGCTGCAGAGGTTGAAGGGGTGGGGGGTCAGCCTGTCAGTGCTCAGACCATACACCGCACACTGCATCAAATTGGTCTGCATGGCTGTCGTCCCAGAAGGAAGCCTCTTCTAAAGATGATGCACAAGAAAGCCCACAAACAGTTTGCTGAAGACAAGCAGACTAAGGACATGGATTACTGGAAGCATATCCTGTGGTCTGATGAGACCAAGATAAACTTATTTGGTTCAGATGGTGTCAAGCATGTGTGGCGGCAACCAGGTGAGAAGTACAAAGAGAAGTGTGTCTTGCCTACAGTCAAGCATGGTGGTGGGAGTGTCATGGTCTGGGGCTGCATGAGTGCTGCCAGCACTGGGCAGCTACAGTTCATTAAGGGAACCATGAATGCCAATATGTACTGTGACATACTGAAGCAGAGTATGGTGCCCTCCCTTCGGAGACTAGGCTACAGGGCAGTATTCTAACATGACAGCAACCCCAAACACATCTCCAAGACGACCATTGCCTTGCTAAAGAAGCTGAGGGTACAGGTGATGGACTGGCCAAGCATATCCCCAGACCTAAATCCTATTGAGCATCTGTCAGGCATCCTCAAACGGAAGGTGGAGGAGCACAAGGTTTCTAACATCCACCAGCTCCGTGATGTCATCATGGAGGAGTGGAAGAGGACTCCAGTGGCAACCTGTGAAGCTCTGGTGAACTCCATGCCCAAGAGGGTTAAGGCAGTCCTGGAAAATAACGGTGGACACAAAAAATAGTGTCAATTTGGGCCCAATTTGGATATTTTCACTTAGGGGTGTACTCACTTTTGTTTCCAGAGGTTTAGACATTAATGGCTGCGGGTTAAGTTATTTGAAGGGGACAGCACATTTACACTGTCATACAAGCTGTACACTCACTACTTTACATTGTAGCAAAGTGTCATTTCTTCAGTCTTGTCACATGAAAACATATAATAAAATATTTACAAAAATGTGAGGGGTGTACTCACTGTAACAATCATGCACACAGGGAGGGGCGCGGTTCTCCATTTTACTCCAAACTTCTGCATTTTGGTATTTCTCTTAACTTCCTATGCAATCACCTGAGGGGGAAGGTGTTGCAATCGTGCACACCAGAGCCAGACAGGATCCTCATTTTGTTAGGAATTCTTCATGTTATCCCCTCATTTCCCCCTCCCTCAGGAATGCATTCAGTGTACGTTGCTAAGTTCGCTGTTTATACAATCCTCTTCCCAAATAAGGTAGTTGGCTTGTTGGTTGTAAGGAGACACCCATTGATTTTGGGTAGAAATAGGCTGTTATGCTTTGTTTGTAGTGAGAGAACAAGAGATCTGCCCTGTGATTAACATCACTGCAGAGTCTCCTGCCATGAAAACAACGAAACTTGCAGTTGAAACAAAGAAAATCATCCTGAAGCTCATAAGACTTGAAACTGCTTAACCCAAGGCGTTTTAGCAAGTAATTATCTACCTACACTTCTTTCTGTTACCTTTTTGCTGTGCTGTGTTTCTCTGTATATATATATATATATATATATATATATATATATATATATATATAGGTTACATCTTTTTCCTGTAAATATTTTTATTGCACCCTTTTGACCTTTTAGTAATAAATATTACTTTCTGAAAGTGTTGAACTGTTTCTATAGCTCGTTACTGCAACTTACGAATTCCTGCCTCTAAAAGAGCACTACTGTGTTTGTTTAAACCTCTGTATAACTGGTCTGCGAGGACAGTGTTATACAGACAATTATCTCAGCCATCATAGTGTTATTGCTGGTATTGCTGAGTTTCCTCTTTCTCTGTACAAAAAGGAGGTGGTGGCAGTGTGAAGGGTTAATTGCGTAATTCACCTGACCCAGTAACAATCGCTCCCAGGCTGCAGGTACATCGATTGTGGTCCAATTAGCTGGAAAATCGGTGTGCAGGGTGCAGCTGGGTGTAGCATTGTTACGCACATGACATCGCTGTATTAGATTGGTTAGTCCTTCGGTCACGAGTTTGGTGAGAAGGGCTGGAGTCTGACGCCGCGCCCGTGACACTCACTTCTGTGAGATACTGTGTAAATATATATATATATATATATATATATATGAGGTGGACTCGATGGGCCACATGTTTTTTTCTGTCCTCACTCTTCTGTTTCTTTGTTTCCAGAACTAAGGAACAATATGTACAATTAATTTTTTTCATGACATCCTGTTAGGGTGGCTGTTTTCATTCTGCAGGGTTTCACTGTATGTAGAAATGTAGCCACTCTAGCTCGCTCCCGAGATGGACTAGGAACTATGTACTATGTAGTTTATATACAGCAGTGCACAGGAACGCAACTAATATGCACTGTACGTACTAAACAAATGGGAGAAAAAAGGAGAGGTTTCGGAGCTCACAGAGGTTATTACAAGATGGTAGAAAAACAGTAAGAAATTATTGTTTTATTATTTGATGAAAAATAGATTTCAGGGATAATAAGTATTGAATGGCTATGGATTATTTTTTGGAAAAATATGAATATCCTTTAGTTTCACTTTAAATACATCCAGTAGCAAAACTGAAGGGGTTGATGACATTACAGGAGCTGTTGGGAATGTCTGCAGCTCAAATGATCTGTAACCAGCAGTTGTTTGATTGCAAGATCTTAATGATAACATATGTTCCAGGGTTGGAGCCTGCATATAAAGATATTATCATTCATATGTGTCTGTAGCATGAACAGTTCATTCTGTTATCAGGCACTACATAACTAAAACAAACCCAACATTTCATATTCCTGATATGTGCCTACTGTCCCATGTAATTGTAAGAAAAAGTATAAGGTTTTCTTTTGTTTTGCTTCCTTTGTATGAAATCCCTGATGTTCCAGCCAGTCCCTGTGCTTTCCTAATAAAAACTGACTACACTAGGCATGAGAGCACAGAGTGGTCCATTTTCTAGCTGTGCTGAGAACTCAGGGTGCTCTCCTCCAATGATTTCTGCTTACACGTTCCCCCACCCCCTGCACAGCCATTCACCAGGAAGATAAGTGTTCTGCTGTTTCTCCTCCCCTAGCTCTTATGCTGAGAATAGAGGGTATATAATCTCTTATAAAAAAAAGGGGAAAAGGTATTTATAATTTTTTTTATATATAAACACAAATGCTTTGCCTTTCATTTCTATTTTAAACTGAATAGGTTGCTTTAATAGGTGAGGGTTTACAATGACTTTAAGCATTATACAACTAAATGCCAGTTCATTAAGGCTGTAGTCTCATGACATGGTTTAAAACTAACATTTCCCGCCCTTGCACAACAGAACAAATTTCAGATGTGCCTTTGTTTGAAAGAAGTTTCATTTACAGATGTTTTTAATAGAACTGTGTGGGTTTTAGATTCTGAATTTCATGCCTGTACTGTAATAAACATGTGCTTGATTTGCTAACATTTTGTAGTTTTTCTTTTCAATGTTCTAATAATTTCACTATACGAGTGTACAGTTTGCTATATACAGTTTGATGAAAAAATCTTGTGATAACCCCTTAAATCAAAGAGGTTAAAATTTACACTCAAATTTGCAGTGCTTTCATACACCAGCATATGTATTTGAGTGCCCTACTGTAAGGCACTTAAAGGATGTTAATCAAGAGAAATACAGAGGATGTCATTGTTGCCCTCCAACCTGAAAAATATTAGCTGCCTGGCTGTCTCTTTCTGCAGTGCTTGCTGAGACACAGACCCTGGGCCTCTAATCTGCCTACTTGCTCCAGACTAGTTACTAAAGCTGGGCATAGATAGATTCTTCCATCCACACATGCATGGTGGATGGAGGAATCCCCCTGCTGGGAACATTGTATTCTGATCAATATCAGAGTCACTGATCAGCTGCTGCAGATGATTGGCTACAGCCACTGATAAACAAAAGATTTCCAGAGTGTCCATTCAAGAGAACTCAGCCTAACAATCAACTTCTGTCAAACAAGAAAGGCCACACTTTAATACTTGCACAAGGAAAGAAATGTGATAGTAGCTTTCATAGTTCCTCTGTACAGGTCCTGTAAACACACATAAATACTTAAACATTCTTTTTATTGTGGAAATTTAAATTAAATAAAGTAGTTTACAGCAATGATGCTACTTATGTTGCAGGCCATTTACTTATTCAGGCAGAAGAGATTAAGTCTTATCAACAAGGCACTATCCAATAGTAATATAACATGCCCTTACAGATCATAAAATGTCTGAGAACAGCTCTCCGTGGAGGGGCCATGGAAATACTGCATCACCTTGTGATCCCCAAAAGTCCATGCAGATACTGTTCCAGGAAGATGGCAGAACAGACATCCTGTAAGGGAAAACCTACTGCTTCCTTCCTCATCAAGTACCTCTCCCTATCACTGCGCCCACTCTCTCCCCATTCAGCAGAGCTCTGTTACTAACCTACACCTTCAGGTCAGCTGCAGCCCAACATTGGCCTACACCAGTAGAAACATGAAACAAAATAAAAGAGGAGCATAAAAGAAAATGTAACTAAAGAAAGTATTAGTGTGTGTCTTGTGATGTCTGCTCTTAGGGGAGACAGTTGCTTTTATTGTAATATTTAGAAAAGCTGCCTGTTCATTGGCATATTCTGTCTTCAGTGGATCATTTTGCTTATCTGTATTTATTATAAGAATTTTGACTTTGTTCATGGAGTTCAAGCTGACTACTTCTCATCTTTCACACCTTACCATTGATAATTTTGTTGGGAATTTAGAGTGAGCAAAGATAGTTACAGGAGGGGCAGGTCAGAGCTCAACTTTAAGAGCCAATGAAAATGCAATCATTGTGTGCTAAGGGTGCTCATACCCAGTGGTGTATTTAGGTTTCGTGCTGCCCTAGGCAACACAAAAATCGCACCCCAACTCCCCCCACGGAGAGACCCTGACACCGACTAACACCCCCCCCCACCCAAGAGAGCCTTCCACTACCACCACCCTGATACACTAACCCCACCCCCACCCCACCCCTGTGAGAGAGAAGAGACACGCCCAGGAATGAGAGTCAGGCTCTGAATACACCATCAAGCAGCCTGCAGCCTCTCTCAGATCCCATCTGGTCCCCATGCTGCGTGTGTCCCTTCTTCCATCCCTTCTTCCAGGGGTGGCACTGCCTCTCTAAAAAATGCCGCCCTAGGCAAATGCCTTGTTTGCCTTGTGGTAAATACGCCCTTGCCCATACCGGCCAAAGTTTGTCTCTGACAAGTTTATTAGAACAGGGATGATGAGATGATGGCTGACTTTTGTGGAACTTTGCTCCTTATCTTTGAAACTATTTATGAAAGTTTGGGGCAAAGAACAAATGTTCAAAAATAACTTTTTTGGGATATTATTTGCACTCACATCCTATGTGTCTCTGGTTTAGGCTCTTCTATTGCTGTTTTGATGTCCAGTTGAAAAAACAAATAGTGTACTTTATGTGTAATAACACTTCACGGTGTAGCTTTTTAGTCCAGATAAAGCTTAACCCACGTCTGCTAGTAATCTGTGTGCTTTACTAAGGCCCCAACATCTGACACACACAGTCCCACTTGTTAAATTCCAGGCTGCAGAATATTATGACGTACCAACCTTTCTGGAGCCATCTTCTAAATACACAGCTACAAAAATATCCACAAAGACTTTACTGATATTCTTGCATATATTTTAGAGCTGGTTTGTATAATCCGCTTATGTTAAACATAAACATTTCTTCTAAAATTAGTATTCTTTAAAATATAGAATGGGTCATTGTTCTTTTAACTTCGTAAGAGACTGGGTTCCTATTTATAGAGACAAAATAAAAGATTATGTGTAATATGTATATTTTATCAGACATAATTAAACATTGCTTTATATTGCTTATATACATGTTTTGATTTTGGTATGTTTAATTAAATTTCATTTGCTGTTTAGCTGTCAGTTGTTTGCACCTTATTTGTGGATCACTCCAAAACCATTCTTTGACACATTCCTATAAGATTTGTTATTAACAGTAATAATGATCAGAAAATGCTGCTGTAAATATGGGAAACCAAGTTTGCCTGTATTTATCATGACTTTATATTCCACCCCTTGGAGTCCCATCTTCCACTAGGCGATGTGTGGAGAATGGGCAGAAACTCCATCCAAAGATTTAGGACAGGTATTTATTGTTATCTGTGTCTTTCTTGGGAACACCTCCCCCCCCCCCCATTTATTTCCTGTGACTTCACTAGGATAGGAAGAGATGAGTAATCCCTCTGTCCTAAATAAGCAAAAAGCAAATCTTTTTCTAAGCTTTTTTAATGCCTGTCTCTTTTAGGAAACACTCTTGCCATTGCATGGTCTATCCAGAATGTTCTCCCTGTAAGAATGCATGTTATGCTACACATTTGGTGACAATTTTATGATACCTAGTTAGATTCACTATGTACAGTCTAATATTTACCTCTAGTTTAGTCTTCAGTGATTGATACATACCTCCAATGTGTCCTTACCTTTTGTAGAACAGTGAAAAACACCTAACCTGTAAAAACAATATAGATTTTGCTTGACTTTTTCCTTTGCTGAAACATGAGTAGAGAGATACAGTATCTATTTACTGACATGAACACTGGAAAAATATATTTTCCATGACTAACAATTGCAAAATTATAATTTTTGTCCTATAAACAAGTTTCAGAAAATCTTTTTTTTTTTTTGGATTGAATGACTCCGTGAACCTGAAGCCACATGGCTCATATAATCTATTTTCTACTAGGAAAAAAAATAACATTCTTTGTTGTAAAGTGAAGAGTATGCTTCATCTATTTTCTAAGATTTTAGTATGATATAAACCTACTTAGAGCACTGGGAATATCATTCAAAATGCACATATGTCTTATATGAAGTAATATATTTAACTGAAGTCAATGGGACAAAACATCCTTAGGTTCATAAAACCAGTTGATAGATTTCATTATTTTCAGAGCAAAGTTAACAGAGGTTTTCCATTTAACCCTCAACAGCTTGACACTGATGCTGCTTCGCTTTTGAAAGTCTTGTAATCAAAATCCACTTTTTACCACTACAGAGGCCCAGTTGCAATGGACACTTTACAGTTTTCTTTCTTTTTTCTTTTAAAGTCTTCCTCACAAAGATGCCGAACCTACAGTGTTTCTGTTAAGCTTGCCAAGGATATCATGTTGAATGGATGATTCAAAATGTCTGCAAGAAAAGCCCTCCAAATAAATAAAAAACATTTCATTAGAGCAAACAAAGAAAGACAAAATTTATTTAAAGGGGATTTACAGTAGTGTTTATATATATTTTCTGTGTTTAGTTATCATGTTCACTAATTAATTTTAAAAATATTGTTTTGTTTAGACAGGTAACAATGTTCATATTTATAATTTGAAGTTAGTAGGTGGAGCTCTGGCCTTCTTTACATATATTTAATATTAAAGTGTTACTAAACCCAGGACACTACATTCACTATATCTGGTCTCCCACAGTACACAACACGGAAATGCAATTATTTTAGTAAATATAAATTGCTAAATACCTTTTCTGATCAGCAGTATACGTAGCAGTCTTGTGACTTCTATCAGTTTCCCAGCTGAGCACTGGTTAAAGCTTGTAGGTTGCGTTTTCATTCTGCTCTGTCTGTCCTATGAGGCTGAATAACCCTTGACCCTCTGTGTGGACAGTGCTGATTGGCCCTGTGCTGATCACATGCACCCTCCAAAAGAAAGAAACTGGGCATGTGCAGTGTGACTCCTAGTGCTCTGTACTATCAGCAGATGAATTTGGGGCAGCCAAGAGTTTGTTTTATGAGAGCCAACATTCTGATCCATTTTATGCTCATTAACTTAACATCGCCATTGCCCAAAGAACCCAGGGCTTTCATAAGTACTTTCAATCTTGATTCCTTTTTGTTCATTCTTGTATTATAGGGGTTGATTTACTAAAACTGGAGAGTGCGAAATCTGGTGCAGCTTTGCATAGAAACAAATCAGCTATCAGTTTTTTTTTGTCAAAGCTTAAGTTAGAAGCTGATTGGCTACCATGCACATCTGCACCAGATTTTTGCACTCTCTAGTTTTAGATAATAACCCCATAGTCTTTTTTTAACTAATACTTTTTACTCTTTCTTTTCTATATTTTGTTTTTTTCTTTGTAAATGACATTTCAAAATCATAAAAATGATCTCTGATGTACTACGATAGAACTGGAAGAATCCCTGTTACGTTAAAGAGCACTATTATAATATAAATGCCTGAAATATTCCTGTCTGACATGACAGTGTGTATTACAAGCAGGGGCGGACTGACCATTTGGAAACTCGGGCACTGCCCGAGGGCCCGGGATCAGTAGGGGGCCCCATGAGACGCCCCTGGTACCTTTTTCATAGGCTTTTTTGAGTTTGGGCAAGGACACATGGGCCCCATTATCCCCTATTGCTCGTGGGCCCCATGAGTTGTCAGTCCGCCCCTGATTACAAGCATTTCTTAAAAGTCATAATTGTTAACACAGATATTGTGAATGGTTTGTGTTTCCAAACAAATACATAGTGGCAGCTGTTTAGTGTGTAACAGCTTAACTGTGTAGTCAACTAAACCCAATGTTGATCACTCTCAGTTTGCTGGCACCAAGACTGTGGTCCCAAGAGCTAGAAAAAATTTTTTCAGGGTGAAGCTGAGAATGTCACCTTGTATTCATGACAGTGTGGTGTGAGTTTACCCAGCTTTCATCCCATATAGGTGGCAGCACAGCAAGATATGGCACTGCTGTTGTCACACCTAGGTGTTAGGTCAGGTGAACATAGTGGCCAGGCAAAGCTGCAAGTCACCCAACAAAGGTGTTGTCAAGGTAACTCTATACTTAAGAAACAAAAGAAGAGGTACCATTATAATGTCTAATGTACAATAATGTATAATATGGAAGTGATGTCCCACCCCAGCCCACCCAATATATACAGTAAAAAAATTTAATTAAAATGGATCAAAAACTATATAATTTCCTTTTAAACTTTAACATCCTTATAAAGTATATATGAAGGAGTTTATGAAGTGTAACTTTTGGAATTTTATTGTTGTGGTATATTATATTGCTCAACTACTGTATAAAAAATATAACAGAAATTATCTTTGCATGACAATAAAAAGTAAAAATGTGCAATGTTTAATTTTTTTACAAGAATATTTTTTAGCAGTTATATAAAACATATGCTGTGCATTGCATTCTTCAGTTTAGTGAACATAAGAATAGTCAGTACAGCATTACTGCAAAATGATTTATGGAGTCTACAATAGCTTCTGACAAATAGTTTGGGATAAAATGAATGTATATATTTCAGGCACCTGTGTCAGCTATGCTCGAATTAGAATGTGGTCTAAATGGTGACAGCCTTCAGTATTTTCTCATCTTGGAGAGTCTTAGTTCTGTAGGCATAAAGGTAAGTAACAGCCCTTAGCATGTGCTGATGGTGAAATCTTAAATAATCTATTGTGCTTATACAGTATTTGTTTTTTGTTTGTTTTTTTAATTATCATAATTTTGGTCAGCTGAAAGTAAACCTGTTGAATAAATAAAAAAATATCCAAATCAATCCCCCACCCTGTTCAAAGCAGTCTGTGTTGCCTATACATCCCTTGAGCTCTGCTTCCCTGCCTGCTCTGATGCCTACAGCCACTTCAATAAAGTGGCTGGTAATTACCACTTTACTGTTCTTTTGCTGTAGTTCAAGTCTATCATTCACGTCAGACTGGTTGAAAGCAATGGGCATTCATTTGGTATGTACCTTTGGTTTGTAACTGTAAGTTTTGAACATCAGGCATTTGGGTCAGACAAATTAAAGAACAAATAAGCACATAAAGTGGTATTAAACTCAAAAACAAACATTTATTATATTGCAACCTACCAATTCCTAGGTGTGATGGCTGCATTCATTTTTTAGGCTTTCTTTCTTTTATTTTCACCAGGTAAACTGGCCAGTAAGTTTGTTGTTTTTCATAAGAACAAGCTGTCCTGCAGATGTAGCATGTAGAGGGATGGGACAAACCATTTAATACTAACAGGGGTGCTTCCAATGGTCAACTTTTATTTATTTATGTAAAACATTTATTGCAAAAGAAAATAAAATGTTGCTGTAACTGCTTAAAATGTGTGAGCTGGAGTTTGCCTTTAATTTATAAGTATAAGGGTAAATCTAAATCTGCTAGCACAGAGCTTGAAAAAGCCGCTCGCCCGCTCGCCAAATGCAAGGCGAAATCCTTGTGTGGCGAGCAG